TGTATTTTGTTTCATATTTTTGCGGTTTTAAAAAAAAACACATATGATTCAGAACGGATTAACCATAATTACATTGAACCTTATGGGGAAATTTGATTTGGGACGCGACCAATTCGGGTTGCGACCAGAGTCGCGGAACGAATTAAGTTCGTGAACCGAGGTACCACTGTATTATCCATTCTCGAGTTTATATACTTTTATTTCCTGCCATTTTCATAGGTTAAATAAAATCCTCGGTATTTACATTGGTATATACGTAAACACTGAATTAAGTTTATAATTTCAACTTCCTATAATGTCCAAGTCTGGCATCTGAAATCATACTTTTATTCTAGTATAGAGCCTAAAAAAACTACAATTTTAAATTTAAAAGTCATAAAGAACCCAGATAGTTTAAAGCTTATCTCTCTCATAGAAGCAGAAGAGGAATGAACAGGAAAAGTTCCAGGTTCCACATGCCTCATTTATTATACTGTGCAAAAAGCAGGCTAAACAAACAAGGAAACTTACCGGCCATCTTGCTGGGCAGCTCCACCTTCGGTTATTGTTTTTACAAAGATACCCAATTTTTCCAGGCCCTGATCTGCACCAACACCCATTCCTATTATACTGATACCCAAGCCACTGTCACCTGTAAGAAAAATACAACAAGCAAAATGATCCCATTTTTGTTATTTGGAGAACATGCTGTATCATAGCTAATAGTATAATGCTGAGAGTGATGAAATGGCTGGGACAGCTGGAACACAAATGAAGGAATCGCACAGTGGGCCAGAATGACTTGAGGCCCACCTGAAGGCCTATTCTGAAGCAATAAAAGCAGAGAACACAGCTTACTTCTCGCCTTTGACTGCATACAGACAAAAATAAAATAAGTGTTTTTTCATACCATGAAGCATCCTCTTCATCATGGTATTTGGGTGTGAAGAGGATTGGGGAGAACTGGTGGATCTCTCTGACAATTTGCATCATTTTTTGCAAATGAAGTCAATGAGAACTGCTTTGAATGGAATTCCAAGCATTCAGTAAAACCTTAAGAATGAAACTTCAGCAATCACTTATCCCCTTATTTTGGATTTTTGGGGGCTCGTCAAGGAGTTCAACAGGACAGATCCCATAGGTATTTATTAATCACATTTATAACCCACCAAATCAGCTAGGGACTCCTGGCAGTTCACAATAATAAAATCACTGTACATAAGAGGGAAAAAAAGGGTCCTCTGGAAAACTGCAATCTTTTAATATTCTCTAGTATTTTCTGGAAGGAGCAAGTCTAATTTTTGAGGGGAAATCACTTCACAGGGCCAGGACTGGATGGAGAAAATAGCACTTTCAGGCTTAGTGCGTCAAAACCAGCACTATAAATTCTACATGGAAATTACAGGCAGCCAATGGACAGCAAACAACACAGATGTTACATATTTCTGATAGATAGTACCTGCCAGTATGTGAACTGCCGCATTCTGCACTAATTACTGTTGTGGTGCCTTCAAAGGCAGCCCTATGTAGAGCACATTGCAGTAATCTAGATAGGCAGTGATCAGGACATGAGTTACAATAGAGGGATAGTATTGTAGAGAAGTAAGGCTGCATCTGGGGCACCAGCTGGTGCTGGATGAAAGCCCTTCTAGGCAAAGCCTTTTCCTGCCTTTCAAACAGCAGGTGAGAGTTCAGGTGGACTCCCAAACTGCAGCCATGCTCCATCAGGGGTTATGCCTCCCCCTTGATAACTCTGCAGCAAACCAAGAATCCCAATGTATCAACAGTCTTGCAATGATTCAATTTCGGGGGGGGGGTTGGTCCCATCCAGACACTCACAGCCTCCAGGCAATGGGACAAGAGTTTCATAGCATCACCAGGTCTCTCCCTTGACAAACAGGTCAGCAGCCTGGGACCAGTCCTTGATTTTGACCTGTCACCACCACAGGTGGTAGATACGCCAGAGTATGTTGGTACAATTTACACAGTGTGCCAGCTATCATCATTCCTAAGCTAGTTTGACTTGACAGATATCTATGTCCTCATTATATCTCTTCTCGATTACTGCAATTTACTCTACATTGAGCAACAACGTAAGTCACAAATGGTAGCTAAGTGTAACTAGATGCCTGTAGTACTTGCTAATTGCTCATTGTCACAGGTTAAGGTGTTACTATTAACCTTTAAACCCTAAACAGCTTAGGGACTATTTCCAGTCATTATGGTTAGCCAAGGAAGGCTTTTCTGAAGATGTCCATGCCTTCAGAAACCTATATATCTAGCTCTTATTGATCCTAAGGCTATGGAATGCACCCCCTTGGTAAAGAGTAAAGATAGACCTTCCCAGGCCTTTAATTTTTAATGAATTCATTTTGGCATTATTTTTATGTTTGAAAAATAATTGCTTCTTTGAGTATTTCCTTAAAGCTAAGACAGACATTAAAACACAAATCAGTCTATGTTTATAATAAAAACTGAAATACTGGTGTATTTAAAGACTCCACAGAAGAATAAAGTACAATGTCAACCTAAGTAATTTTTCTACCTGTTTCTGCAGACTTAAGAGCTGGAATTTGCATTACCAAAACTAAGGGATTAAGCTTTGAACTTGGTGCTACTTAATACCACTATTTGAATGTTGGCAGACATTAAACCTAATACTACTTAGCACAACCACATTTCTCCTAATTTGCACCCTATTTCTCTAGATTCATTTAGAAAACATAAATCGGATAAAGTCTGAAAGTTTATACATTACCTTAAAGTTTGCTAGTGACATTGTCAGTATGAGTTTTGATTTTTCCTCTCATGACTAATATATAAAAAACATATTTTGCTTTTTATAGTCCTGTACTGTTTAGTTTTCCTTTCAACTTTTATAAAATATTTTCCAGCCTTAACACAGCCAAACCTTTAGAAAACAATCTCATTTTAAGCTTAAGAGTAATTTATATTCTTGACATTGCAATGCTATATTTAATTAGAAATTTTGCAAGTTAATGATGCTGACTTCTGGGTAACTGGTTATTTGACTGCAATTTAAGCTGTAAACATTAAAAGACCTTGCTTTTTCCTTATGATAGACATTCAAGATTTGCACCTTTTTCAATTTCCACTGGAAAAACCTCCATTTTCTCCACCCTTTTCTCAAGTTCATACTCCGCTGATGCTGCCACAGGGTCCACTTCTTCATTGCGTCTATCATAGTCTTCATTTGAGTAAGTACTGAACACCTAAAAAAAGGTAACATTTTCAAAAAGTTTTTCGCCCATGCAAGTTGAATAGATCTAAATGCCAATTAAATACATTTAAATACCAACTTAGAACATGCTCATGTTATATCCATTTGCAAATCAATGATTGAGAGTATATGGACAACATAGCAAAATCATCTTATGCAAGGGATTTTTAAAGGCCTATAAATTCTTTGACCTTTTTTAAACAGATAATTTGAAACAAGTTTCTCAATAACAGGACTATCTCTATATTTAACTAAGTTCATAACACAACTTTTAAATTTTAAAAAATACTAGACATCCCGTGACCTGTTGGATCACTGTTTCAGAGATATTTCCTTACCTAAACAGAGAACAGAATGACAAAGGGCAAAAAAGCAGTGTGAGTGTGAGCTACTTGAACTTGCCCCACTGAATTTGCTTATGGGAAGCTGGCAGGGAACGTCAGAAATCTCCCTCATCTTCTCCTTCCTTCCTTCCTTCCTTCCTTCCTTCCTTCCTTCCTTCCTTCCTTCATATATTATAGACTTGCACTGTCTGCCCTCCCCTCATGACCTTCAGAAAAGCCCCAGTGAAGCCTCCTCCTTCCTGCTCAGCTGACCTGTGGAACTGCCTGCCACTTTACTAGGGGGAGGTGGAACAAAGGGAGCCATGGACCGCAAGGAAAACTGCACCCCCACTCCTCATTCTGGTATGTCCCCAAGGGCCCCCTCCCTTGAGGGAGGAAGAGGGCTCATCTGTCAACTACTGGTGCCCCCCAGCTAGCCCTACCTCACCAGCAGGCATCGAAGTCACTCCCTCAACCTTCCCTCAACACCCACCACCATTAAGAGTTTTCAAATTTCTGCCTCAGTTTCAAAGCAGCCAATCACCACTTGCCCGTCAGGCCTTGCCACCAGCCAATTGGGCACAGGGGCCAGAGGGAGGCAGGAAAGAGGTCAGGTATATGCCTATGATGATCATGTGACCTGGGCTGATTGGGGCAGCGCAACAGCACAGCAATGCTGAAGTGACCACACATTTCCCAAATTTAAATCCCATGGGAGTAATGGGTCCCAGATTTTGGATGCATTCTATAAGTTAGCCCACCTGAGGTACCTTGGTTCAAAAACTGTTGCCCTATGGTGCACCATTTTGCCCAGTTGAAGGTTACAGACATGAGGGTTTTAATGATATATAGAGAGATACTTATATTTGTTAGAGGAATTATGTTACAGTATTCTGTATTAGAATTAAAGCAAAATGTAGTGGATCACATGAATTACGTGCTTAACCAAATCAGGTTTAGAAACTGATATACCACATTTACCCAAAAAGAAGACACTGCTGAATTTAAAATAATCTCATCCCCACCGATGGAAAAATAGATAGAAAAAAGGTGTTAAACACAGAACAATTATGCAAACTTCTTGTTAACTAGATTTGCCAACTCCCACTGAAACTAATCCACTGCAACAAATGTGGACGTGTGGGCAAACATACTGGTCACGGTCTATATCCAAAAAAGTACAGGGCCAGGATAAAAATTTAAATTATTAACTGAATTGCCAACTGACCAAACTGCCTGTAAAATAAGATATCCATTGGTAAAACTGATCTCCCATACGCATATAAATACAAACTACTTTCTCTCAAACACTAACTGCTCTCTCAAATATAAATATGCAGAACTCCACATATATACTGTATATTCACACACAGGAAAAAGATATATAAACTAGGGCATAAAGCTACACATTATTCCTCTGTATTAAGTCCTTGGAGTCTTACTTCTGAGTAAGTATGCATAGGCTGCTACTATGCTGGAGGTGGAACTATTTAGTCAGCTTAGTTCATGCAAGTTGGAGTGGAAATTGAAGAAGTGTGGATGTGCATTTTCTTTCTCTTTGCAAAAAACATGAGTTGACACATGCTTTTGTGCTGAACTGCAAGTACAAGAAAAGTATTTTTTTGTGTACCTTCATCTTAAGGCAATAATAGACATAATTTTTAAAAATGGACTGAGAAGCATTTATGTTTTCTCAGTCATGTTGTACCTAATATCTAAAATAATCTTAAGAATTTAGTCTAGAAGCCTAATTACATGACAGGGTATGCTTGAATAGAAAAAAAACAAACCATTCCTACTATTTTGAGCACTATTTTGAATTGTGTCTCCCAAGATTTAAATCTTTTAAATAAATCAATGAATACAATCAAAACTGCTTATACAAATGTCTCAAAGAATAGATTCTAGCACTGAATGAAGTTAGTGATTGAATCCTAAGAGTTAACTTGCTGTATGTTATTAATGTACATGCTTAGGATGAATATTTAGAAAACTGTTAGGAAACAGCTTAAAACTTTACATTTTAAGAAATAATCCTGCATAAAGAGAAAGAGGCACTGGATATTAGGTTGTTCCTTAAGAACTATCTGTTGGTGACAATTATGACAGAAGTGATTATCATGAATACAAAATAGCAGCAAGATACTCTTAAGATTTTTCTTTAGAAAAATATGTTAATCAAATGTTTAATATCACTTCTCAGAAAGATGTCTGAAAGCAAGTCTTTGGCTCAACATCAGCAACCTTTTCAGGCACCAACAACTTCTTAAAATTAATAGTGGCTTAAGCTTTACTCCTTAGTAAAGATTTAGGTCTTTTTTTTTTTCCCCAAGATTCCTCAGATACTGTCAGGGAGTGTAGCAGGCACTCAATTGTTACTCCTGGGATTCAAAGTATAGTTAAACCAAAACAGTAGTTTAATGAACTAAACAAGTGGATAGATTCAGAGATGCTGAGCACACTACTAGGTTCATCTACATAAGGAAATACTGTAACCAGGAGACACACTCAGGTCCAATTCAGACACACATAATTCAGACACCCACAAGAGACTATGATATATAAATTGACTTATACCAAGAGTACAGAAAGAAAGACATTTATTTGTTGGTATAGACTGATGAGCACAGAGTTGGGGCTTTCACTAATGACACATAAATATTTATGAAATTCTCTCTTTATCCCACCACCAACCTCAAGGAGAAAAAGATACATTCCTATTTCAGAATGATGTCCATTCCCTTCTAAAAAGTATGTTGCTATACAAGGTTGGATTTCCATCTCTAGTAGAACTGAAGTTTTACATACCTATGCAGAAGATATGCAAGATAGCCAGTATTTTTAATCTACTGTAATTATCCATTTTAGCTTCATCAGTCATTAATGTACTCTACTAACTTACTTTCAGAGAAAATTTAAAGATGAAGTGTAACATCTATCTCGTCCTTTCCTCCTCTCCTGCAAACGCAGTGTGTTAAAATGCTGAGTGGGAACTGTCCCATTCCTTTCTTCTCACCAAAAATTATTTTTGCTCACAAAAGCACAGTATGGATTTTATGACTTCAGTGACATGATCATATTAGAACACATTTCTCTAATGGAGACTTTTTTACAAGCACTTCATACTTACTTAATGTATCCTACAATTAGGACAGGATCAATGTTTATATTTCAGCCAAGATTGGTTTTACATTTTCTAATATTAATGCTTTATGATATGAAAAGTCAGTTAGTTTAGATGACATCATTCCAACAAGCTATTTTGATCTGTTCCAAAAAAAACATTTTTCCAGACTGCTCTACTTCTACTGCTAGCACGAATTCCCAAGAAATAACTAAGACAATGAATACCTTTCATCACTGAAAACTGTTAATTTTAAACAACTTCTGAAAATCACCATAAATTCTCAGATCCCCTTCTGTGAAGACAGTTCATCCCATTTTAATAAAAAAAAAAAATGTCCTCGCTGTCCATAGCCAACATAATTATAGTAATATTAGCTGAGGTTTCTTTTTAGAATACTTTTTAAAAATTGAATATATTTTAAGATACCAGAAACAATAATATAAACAAAATCTCATATTCCCCAAAATTTTAGTGATTGGTGTACAAAATAGATGAAATCGTATCATTTCACAGGTATGAGCGCTATTCCATAAACTTCTTAGCTCTTTTCTCTTGTCCCCAGTACTAAACTGATTCTGTGAAAAGCACTAAATTTACACTCTTAAACTAGTTTAACAATGAAAAATTCATACACCCTTCACTAAGAACAAAACATGAAATTTGCAAATTTATCCTTCACGGATATCAAATAAAAACTGCTAAGCATGATAAAGTCTGATTCAAAACAGTGAAATAGCATAAATGCTCTGGAGTACCTCTTTTTACTCCCTTTCTTTATACAATCTACCAGAACTACCAACAAATTAGTTGCATTTACACTTAATGTATGCCTTATTCTTAAAGCCCCCATCACCAGGGAGAAAAAAAAAATCCTTACTTTCTTTCAAAGATAACATGAATATGGGCAAAATGGTATCCCCCCAAACAACAATTAAATTTAGAAACCACTAATTTGATCAGAATTAGGTTAATGATGATAATACCAAAATTTAAAGGACAAATATATTAATAGAGTTTAGGTAGAAAGCACTAACTTGACATTATCCTAAACAACTTAGGTCAACACAAAAAAAGAATTTAAATACATGCTATTCTCCCTACCTATATCAATTACAAGATTTCATCCATTACTGCCTGAACATGTAAAACAGCAGAAAATAGACAATTTCAGTACATTTCCCAAATTAGCTTCCATAGTTAAGTTTAAGATTTAACTGGGAGGTTCTTTGAGATTCCATATTAATACAACTCACTATTTTAAATTTATTAAAACCAATATCTTATGACTCATATCTCAGATTACCACTCCCTTTATAATAAAAGTAACATAAAAGATACAAAAGATATTTCAACTAGAAAAAAATAGAATACAAGTATGGATAATTTTTTTAAAATGTGCAATCACAATAAACTATAAAAAGTCATATAATCTGTTCATCAAAAGAAAACCTTAACCTTGTGCTATTTACAGGATGGATAAAATTGTTTTTGAGGAGGTATATGGTATAAATGGAAGAGACAGGAGAAGAATAGAAAGCAAAA